ACCGTAGCACAGGCTATTTTTCAAAATTCGTCGTCCGTGGGATTTGAACTCTAGACCTGCCACTTGGAGAAGGTGACAACTAGACCACTACACTAAGTCGCCACACCTCATAGTAATTTTATCTAATTTAATTATCAAACTATCCATAAGTAAATACTTTTTAAATTACAAAGAAACTATTCTTCATATTTATCAGATTCTGTTCTTTGAGGTACTTGATTAGTAATTGTAAAATAAATCATCGTTCTAAATATATATTCCTTTTTATTAGAGAATTTACAAAACTCTGAATAAATATCAATAAAATTCAAATTATTTTCTTTAATATCAACCTTAGCTTTTTCAAAAGTTTTACAAATAGCACATCTTTGTGATATCATATTATTCTTTTCTTTATGACCTACTACAACTGAATAATGGTTATAATAATTTTTCTTATTATTATTACAAAGATATAACCAAACTTGTCTCTCCGAATTACACAATATATTCATAGAAAATTATTTAATTTCATTTTCATAATAATCAATAGTTGCTTTCTTTTGTTATATTAAATTGGTGTTAATAATAACTTGATTATTTATCTGTTGTTTAGCTATTGAGAAATTATCTGAAAATCCACAATCAATAATTTTTTTTAAAGAATTTAAAAGAGTAAAATATTTAGAGTTAATTGTTAAAAAATTATTAAATTCTTTAAAGCTATGTTATACAAAAGTTCTGCCATTTTAAATACATATATTTAAAATTTTAATCGATTATTTAAACTGATTAGATATATCATTAAATATTGTTTTATTATTTTTAATATAACTATTTTAATTAAATATATATTCATATTTACTAACACAAATATGAAATTTAAAATAATGATAACTTTTACAATCTTTTTACAATCTTTACAATAATAATTTTCGTTATCATTTTTAATTACAAAATTATTATTTAAATTATATAAAGATTTTTTGGATATTGTTGATTTAGTTATAGTTCAATATTATCATCTTTATCGAAACTTTCTTCTTTGAAAAGTTTTTGTTTACATAATATACAATAACTTTGTTTATATATACAATTACATCTTTCACAATAAAAAAATTTAATATTATTAATTTTTTCTATAGAGGAAATTGTATTTTTAAAATATATACTTTTATGAATTAAAACATTTTGATTATTATATTCAATATCAAAAACTCTTTCTAACAATTACTAAAACCAAAATTTCTACTAACAGAAAAATATAATTTTTGCTAGAGAGCCGAGGCCTACATAGCAGTTTGTCTAGAGGTTAACATTTTTGCTTATGGGACTCCTCTAAAGGGATATTCGGCATGCAAGCCAGAAGCGTTTTTATACAAAATAACTGGCAGGAGGTGCTCTTGTATAGAAAATCTTGGTGAAAGATGGGTAAAGCCCAACTTTGTTGATGAAGCTTCTAGGTTGTTACTTCAAAGAAGAACACAGGAAAAACAACAGGAAATATGTTTTTTTTAAGCCACTCTCTTTTATTTTGGTTAAGTGGTTTCTCTTTTACTCTTTCTCATCTCCTCGTCGGTCTTCCAAAATATTTTAATAAAATATAGAGATTTGGCTTACCCCTCCAAAAGATCGGCATTGTTTACTTCCCAAATTTGGACGGACTAGTGAAATGCAACCACATGTTTGTTTATGGACGAACACGGCACTATTTTACAGAACTCGGCCTGAGAACTCTAATTACGGCAGTAGGTGCTTGAGATACGGGTTCTTCTTGGGTTAGGGTAAGTGTAACTTTTGAACAACAGCAACACCTGGCTCAAGATACAAATTAGGACAGGCAACAAAGCAATTCGGAGTTGGTGGGATAATCAGAAAGTAACTTTAATACTAAGGTGAAGCTTTACAGAAGAGATATACAAATATTGCATTTGTTATATAATTTTTACTAGCCTTGCATGGGTTATAATAGTGCCTTTAGAATCTTAGATTTTTTTTATGTTTTTTCTTTTTTGCAATCTGTTTTTCTTTTTTCTTGCTTTATTAGTTTTTTCTTTGTTGGTCGTTTTTGTAGTTTCTTTGTTTAAACTTTTCACCCTTATGTCTTGTGCTCCTTGAGAAGAAGGAAAAATTTGAAGGAAAAGTGAGGTTTTGATGAATTGGAAGCTGAGCCCAAGCTATATATTTATAAGTTATTATCGTCCGGCAGTTGTTACTGCCATAATTATTTGATCATATAAAAAAAATCATTACGCATTTTAAAGTCAGCTGATTGGCTATAAATAAAAAAATTTTTTTCGCGTTTTTGTTATCTCTTCTATTTTCATGAAATAACTTTCTTTTATAGAGACAGTCAGTATTTTTAAAAAATAGCAGCTTTTTTTTTTTAATAAATATTTACGATGCCCAAAGTGTCTAAAGAAAAGGTTCACATACTATCATGTATTTCTGCATTTATTTATCGTTACTATTATTTACTATTTATGTATGTATTAAACTTTTTAGAAACGATTTACATACGTCGAGCCTACACCAGAAGAAGTTATATCATTACAAAAAAAGTCTGTAGTAGAAAATACACATAGATCTATATTGAATTGGACAAAACAGTTTGAGAACTATCGTAAAGATACAAACCTTCCTGGTGAATTATCTAATATTTCAAACCCAAAGCAACTTGAAGAAGAGCTTTGTAAATACTTTACTGTATGCCGTAAGACTAATGGTGACGAATATTCTGTCACATCCCTTCAATCTGCAATTAATGCATTAAATCGGTATTTTAATGGTGAGACAAGTAAATTAAAACCAATTGACCTAAATGACAAAAAGGCGCACCCTGATCTTTGGCGTACATTAAATGGAAAAATTAAAACGTTGTCTTCAAGTGGGTTTGGGGAATCAAATGGTTCTGATGCTTTAACAATTGATGAAGTTCAACAAATTTTATCGCATTCTCAAACATCAAGACTTAATCCCCAAGGATTACTAAATAGAGTTTTCTTTTTTAATGCACTTTGTCTTGGTCTACGTGGTGGAGAGCATTTTTTATTAGAACTTTTTTCTTTTAAAAAAAAAGATTCTGGTGGTTATGAAGTTAAACTTTACCGATCAAAAACAAACCAAAGAAGTCTTGAAAGTTCTGGTGTAGCAGAGACATTTTCTATTCCACCAATCTTTGATATTGTTGAATTATATGATACATATATAGCCAAACGCCCAACTAATGCTGATCCTCAATTCTATCTTCACCCTATAAAAAAAAATCATGGTAAATAACAATCGTATTTAATAATAATAATTATTAATAAAAATGTTAATTTTTTTTTTGTATCTTACAGAGGATTTTAAAACTGTTGAGGTCTGGTATGAAAAAACGCATTTGGGGGAAAATTCGATGAAGGCATTCTTTAAACGACTAGTAGTATCATGTGATATCGATATTTCTGGTCATAAGATTACTAATCAAACTGGGCGCAAAACCTTAATTCAAATTCTAAAAGCGCTTGGATTATCTGATTATGAAACAATGTCAATTTCACGCCATAAATCACTAAAAGAATTAGCATCTTATGAACGTCCGATTATTCATGTACAAGAACTTGGATATAAAGCTTTAGATAAAGCAATTAATTATGAAAAAGTAAATGGTTGTAGTTTTTTTTTTTTTTTTTTTTTAAGATTTTAATTTATTTTTTTATTTTTATTTTTTTTTATATGATAGAATCATTTGTAGCTGCAAGTACATATAAAAATGAATTATCAGGCTTCGTATCAGCATTGTCATTGTATCAAGGTTAAAAATTTTAATAATACTGTAACTTTTGCTTTAAGAAAATCATACTACAGTATTAATTTAATTTATTTATTTAGAATCGTCTACATCTTTTCATGCATCAAACCAAAAGAGTCAGTCACATAATAAGTCAACACAAATGAACTTGTCTCAGAATGAATCAATTGAAGAATTTAAAC